ATGTTGTTGTCGAAAGAAGCCTTGCAACAACTTACGACAAGAATTGCATGAACACGTTCAATCCAGGGTATCCATAAAAATAGTGAATAGGAGACGGACCAAACAAGGTTATTTTACAAACCGATATTAAACAGAATTTACCGCCGTCACCTTGTTACTTGCCAAATTACAGTTAGGGCACTGGAGACATGTCATCCTTTTAGATGAGTTCTGTTTCCGACTTGTTAAAGCTGATGATAGAATTTGAGTTCGTCGTTTGCCTGGAGAACAGATGAAAGAAGACTGTTTTTCCCACAGCAAACACATAGGAAATGGTGTAATACATGTTTGGGTAGATATTAATCATGGCGGAAAACTGCTCTTCATATCCTCTAGGGAAACGTCAATGGCGCCTCCTACAGGCATCACATGGATGTGATCTTTCTACCAGATGCTAGGACAAGATTTGGCAATAACTTTGTGTTTCAGAATGACAATTCCACTGCTCACAGTGCGCGTCTTGTACAGGATAGTCTCAACCTGGAGGATATTACGAGATTGCCATGGCCAGCAAAGTATCCAGATTGTAATCCCTTTGAGAACTGCTGAGCAGAACTGGGCTGGAAAATTGCTGACCACACCCATATACCAGCTATTGTAGCTGAGTTTTAGCACCTTCTAGTTACAAGTTGGGATGAAATCATGGTGGATTACACCAATAACCTCATAGACAGCATGCCACGTCGTATTGCGGAGGTTATTAGAGTACGAGAAGGACCAATCAAGTACTGAATGTTTCATATGAACCGATTTACGGTTACAAACGCTAGTTATAATATTTTGTCATTATATATACTTTGGTAAGGTTTTGTTGTGATAGGTGAAATGCTGAATTACACATCTTTCTACAGATGTCTCATAAAATTGTTTAATGTTCTAATAAATCGTTCATGGTATCCATAGAACCTGTCTCACAATAAAAATTACATGTGTAGATGTTTAATATAACATGCATCTCTCAGTTTGACAGCGTTAACGCCCCCCAGTGGTGCAGCGGTATGTCTGCGGACTTACAACGTCAAAATCCGGGTTTCGATACCCGTGGTGGGCAGAGCACAGATAGCCCATTGTGTAGCTTTGTGCTTAATTACAAACAAACAAACAAACAGACAGCATTAACTGTATTTGTATTCCATCGTAATAATAATGCTTTTATTTGTTATAAAATATATAAACATTTTGGCCAAGACTGTATGAGAGAGAAAGCATTGTTGTGTTTATCGGTTTAGCTATACAAAATTAAATATAAACGCTAACTAAAATATCCTGGCAGAGCAGGCTCAAGAAAATTAGTCAAACAATTACACAATTGCGAGAATAGATAAATAACATAATGAAATAAAAAATAAAAAATGGATATTCTTTATACAGAGAAGTGGTGGAATGTTGATTATATTTGTAATAAACAAGTTCATAAAAGAGATGTAAACGGAAGCTGTAATTACTTGAAAGAGGAACGTTCATTAATATCATTAGGTGTCTAAAAAGTTGATTTAAACATATGTTTATGTTTTAGGATTTTGTTGTGGGCTACATGTTGTACAACAAGTACACTCATGTCATCAATTCCGTTGTGGTCTGGCAAGTTAAGGTGTTTAGGGACTGAGTGATCGATTGTACCGTTGAATACAAGTCGAAGATGTTCGCAATAGTGCGTATAGTTTCTCCAATATAGGTTTGATTGCTCCTAGTACAGAGACTGTAGTAAATAATGCACTCTGATGTACAGGTGAATTGGCCTTTTATGTGGAAGGTTCCTAACGAAGCTCATATGCCCGAAACGTAGCGCATGAAAGAAATATTTTGTTATGGACATGTGTTTTAAATTTTTACAATATCTATAACTATATTTTATAAAATAAAATGATTTCATCCAGTTGGTTGAGTCTTGCTAAAATTTTACTTGTGTAATAATTAAGTTACCCTAACTAGAGAGAAATACCAACTGTAGTGATGACGTGTCTTGGATATTTTGAAACTTTGGGGTCAGATTAGCCCTGAGTATCAAAAATACTTTTGTATATAATTCTTACTTCTCTAGTAAATATTTAGATTTTCGACTTTTGTATCATTTATTACTGTGGTTTTGTATATACCGACTTTAGTTTCTTTTCTCTGAATATTGTGTAACTTCTAGTGTGAGTTCGGGTTACTTTTACTGCATTATACTCATTTCCTGCAAAATTTCCGCTATTGCGAAATTACTTTGGTTCATTTACAACATCTATATCACCTCGCTGCATCTATAGCTTTTGTTTTTGATGATAAAACTCAAATAACCAGTAAGCGTAGGTAAAATGTTATCTCTGTTAATATTTAGAAACTATTATAGCCACAAATGATTAAAAATTAAATTATAACAAATTTATTTCCCCACCACATCGGAATTAACCACAGAACATACCACATGTCCAATGTTAAGTGTCGTTTGTTTTTTGTTGTTTTCTTTTTCTTTTTGCTTTTGGTCTTTATTTGTTTTGTAAACTTGGATGTTGTTACTAGTCTTAAGCGATATATTTTGTCTGTTCTAAAATACTTAAAAGTTGATTCACATATAATCAGGTATCCAAAATTAATAATCTAGAAGAATATAATATCAGTTAATAACGACATGTGTGGTTTCTTTATTGCACCTGTCTCGACTTACAAAATTCTAGATATAATAATCCCTCCTCCTCAGAGTGAGTTGGTTTCCATCTTACTTACTTCAAAGTGTACAACTTTCACCTTGACTTACATACTTCCTGTGCTATAGGTGTGAAACTGAGATACTTTGAATTATAGACTCCCTGTGCTATGTGAGAAACTGAAATGAATATACTTCAGAAGCAGTTTTTCTCAATGTCTTATATACCTGCTAAAAGAGTGCGGGCCCTGTTTATACAGCTTAGTCGAGAGGTATTATGATAACTTTTCCTAAATAGCTTTCAAAGCGCAGTTACATTACAAACTTTATATTCAACTATTTGTAAAGAACATTCAGAACTATTACTGAGTTAAGCTATATCATGTGTTTTTAAATACAATACGTATTTTATAGCATAACTAGCTGGAAGTTATGTAAATTCATGATTAATGAAAGGTTATCATAGGACATGAAAGCTGCTTCCCTTATATGTAATTGTAAAAAGAAAAAAAAGAAAAAACGCGTATAAAATCTGCAAAACACAAAATGTGAAACTGAAAATTTGTATGTACCCCGAATGAACCGCCATACAAATTTGGGTGAAAATCCATCCACACCCTGTGAAGTAGTTACATGGACATACATCAGACAGATACTGACACGACTGAGAGTTTTTCTGAGATGAAAATACATAATGAAATTTAGCAATACTGAGCAACATGGCCAATTAGATATGGGTAAAGGAAAGAATGAAGTCTGAAATTTCTTTTATTGGAAACAAAATTACGTAAAAACAATTGAACACATTGGGTTGAATGATATTTATTTGTTCTTGCCAGTAATCAAGTAAATCAGTGCAACCCCTTGATTCCGCCATTCAAATGCTTAATATTATACGTTAAAATCTGAACGTAGGAACTTACATTTCCATGCTATTCGTTATGTAAATCCATGGATGTGGTTTTTATAACCCCTAAAACTTCTTTGATCCTCATATGTGTATTGAAAGTTGAAATTTTCCAAAATAATAGGAATAATATTTACGTAAACATCAACTACAGAAAAAAACAGAAATCATTGTCTTGTTTGATAACGCATTTTCCCACTGTAGTTTATTAATCAACCTTTCTCTTCCCATGTCTTTGATCCCCACACCTCACCTGCTTCAGGTTTATTAATCTATGTATTTGAGGAGCAAAACACGTGTAAGCATTGCCCTTACACAGTTATTATTGACTCAAAGCACATTGAGGGAAGCATAGTAATAACAAATGTTTATATAAACTCACTTTGACATCCAGGATAAGTTCCTTCAAGACCATCTGGTCCTATTACTCATACTCAGTTTGACAACCAGGATAAGATCCTTCAAGACCATCTTGCCCTCTTACTCATACTCACTTTGACATCCAGGTTCCTTCAGAACCATCTAGTCCTCTTACTCATACTCAGTTTGACATCTAGAATAAGTTCCTTCAGGACCATCTGGTCCTCTTACTTACACTCACTTCAAGATCAAGGATAAGTTACTTCAAGTCCATCTGATCCTCTTACTCACCCTCACTTTGCCATCCAGGATAAGTTCCTTCAAGACCATTTGGTCCTCTTACTCACCCACACTTTGCCATCCAGGATAAGTTCCTTCAAGACCATTTGGTCCTCTTACGTACACTCACTTTGAAATCAAGTATAAGATACTTCCTACTGAGAAGAAGGAAACAACCAGTCAGCAGCACCCAATGGTAATTCATTAAAAAAATATTGACTGCCACTCTTATAACGCATCAACTGCAAATAGTGTTTGAATATTTAGTGATATCGCACAGATTCGAACCAGGCTTGCCAGCTCCGAAATCCAGAGTTCTATCACAAAGCCCGAATTAAGAAAGTCGTTTCTATAATATTTAACTTAATCGTATGAACCTTGTTAATACCGAATCAGTAAAATAGAGCTTCAAATGAGTAAATTTTACATTGTTTTATTATGATGGCGTTTCATCTCCACAAAGGAAGACATAATGAAATTAAACCCACAAGTTTCAGGCTAATCATGTAAATATTCGTATATTGGACACAATATTTTTTTTTCGAAAACAAAAACTTTTATAAATTTGACGCGCTCTACATATCTTGTATCGTTAAACTCAAATAATGAGAACATTTATCTGTATTCATATGTACCACTAGGTGGCGTTTCAGCAGTAATAATGCAGATTATGTTGACACAAAGTCATTGTTGGTAATAGCTAAAAGTTTGTATTCATGCTGTTTTGTTCCTAAGTTTTAATGTGATTAACAAAGTGTTCTCTCTCCAGGCAAGGAAGCACTAGGGACAATGGTAGGGAACTTCAGGGAACCTGCCATGCTATACGATTGTGACAGAAAGCTTAATGGTGAGTTAAGCTCAAGCCAGCATCCAAGAAAGGTTGTCAGTGGTTTGATTCCCGATACTAACTCCGCTGGACTACAATTTCTACCAGAAGAACTACAGTTTAAACCTAGTAGTCTAAGTTATCAGATCGGTGTGTGGACTAGAAATAAGATAAATAAAAGGTCAAGATTCGGTCCAATACTGGCTCGTCTTGAGACAACACGAACATCTAAGTTATCGTGGAAGGTGAGTACACGTGTGCTTAGTATTGTTTCTCACTCATTTTTGCTTTCCATAAAATCAACTTTTATCAGTCAGTGAGTTTTCAGCTAATGTAATTTTATATGCCTTTGGTACGAAAATTGATTTTGCTTAATTGTTTTATTATATATATATATCAGAACGTATTATTAGTTTCGGATATTCGTGCAAAACAATGCAAGGGCGATCTGCATTAGCCGTCTAAAATTTTGAGCTCATGGATTAGATAGAAGACAGCTAATTAATAGGAACACCGTTAAAACTTGAGCTACTTTATATGAATGATGAAAATTGAGCGTCACTCTTTTAACACACCCACAACCCCAAAGGGTGGCTTTTTCTGTATATGAAGTTCTTGCATTTAATTGAATTTTGAGAATTTCTTTTTAACTAGCAATATCTACAACTAATAGTTCACCTTGTTTTATTACCACGTTATAGAATAAACACCACTACCTGATTACTGTTTCAAAGGATATCAACTTTTATCAGAGTAATTAACTCAATGACCTTTTAGCCAGTGTAGCTTTATATGCCTTCAGGTAAAAAAATTGACTTGCTGTAATTTTGTTATCGTATATTACAACGTAGAGCACCTTTGCTAGGTCTAACTGGAATGATCAATATTCTAAAGCTTTTTTTGGAAATATAAGGTGTGGGTATAAATAAACGCTGCACCATGCCGAAAGCTCCATTGAATAACAAACCAACGCTTATAGCTAGGTTGTTGCCGAGGCACTAGCTGTCGGTAAAAGTGCTGTTTTTGCAGTTTTCTTATCTAAAGTAAGCTTGCATGTAAGATATATTTTAAATAATCAGAAGTGAGTAAGGAGTTACATAAAGTTGCCACACATTTTCCTTTGTGGGGGAGGGGGGGGGGGCTGTAGCTCGGGTAAAACATCGTTTGTTTTGTTTTCACGCAACGAGCTAATAATATACTGCAAGCTCAAGTGTCGGGGTATTGGAACCGATAGACTCTGCCCCAATAATCAGTGTGATCGCTACTAGTTTATTCTAGTGCTTTATGATAAAATAAAGTGCCCATAAAAAGTTGCTAATATTGCAGAGATGTTGTCGTCTCATCAGCTGCCATTGACAGCTCGGTTTGCGTCAGTGCTAAGCCTACAGGATTGACATATTGGTCGCTCGTCTCGAGATGAGTACTTCCAAATATCCATCAGGGGCGTTCTCACCTCACTTCACGAAACTTGTCGCCCAATCAAATATTTATAACCTTCAAACCTGTTTTGTTGTTTTCTCCTGTTTTGTCAGAAAACCCATAAATTTCAGGTCAAATATATTTTGTTGGATAAGCTACATGTTTCTTATATAAACTTCTATCTCCCCCTCTAACTCCAAAACACAAGAAGATATTTTTATTTTGATTAAACATATTAGATGCCTAACTGTTATTTTAGGGAACTAAACTTCACGTATTTTATTGCACCTTGCAAGATATAATAATAACGAATAGATATTTTAATTTAAAAGTTGTTTTTGATTTGCTAGTTTAGTTAGAAGATGTCATTTAACCTATTAGTTTTTGTTATTTAAGGAACTGAGATTGAAAGAATATATATATATATGAAAACATTTTTTCTTTTGTTTGGATTAGTGCAGAGCGGTAAGTAGTAACTTATCTTGCTCTTGCTTAACTACGATTGACATTACCCTGATTGCTTAACTTTTTAAGCTCCGTAGTTTCATATATACCTTGTATAATATCATTTATGCCTGTATGTACACATATAGTATTATTATAAATAAGCGCAAATAATTCCTTATTTTCATAAAATACCTTTTTTCGTAGTCTCTCCTGTTTCTAACAAGAAAACTTGAGCATTCTGATGAGGCGTTATCAATAAATTCTTCTCACTTGGCGTTAAATCTTTGGATCTTAGAGGTAGTCTATACATGTATTTATAATACTAAAATAATAATTTATAATTACTTATATGGAGCCTTTACTAATTTTCGTTAAGTTATGCAGTGAAAAGCTGGGTGATCTTTAGTCTCGAATCGTCACTAAAGGAAAAAAATCGCTGCGAAAAATTTAGTAAACCTACCGTTGAGAATTCTCAAGCTACTTTGACAGGGCGCTAAACACCATATTCACGATGTGGGTATGTCAGTGGCATGAACAATGATCCAAATAGTGATTTTTGGAGAAAAGTGCACTGATGAAAAACTTCATGTGAAAATGTACTATTTAATTATGTTTGTATAAAACCGTATGTTGTCTTCAGTTCCCTTCTCCTTGCGACACTGAAAATTATTATATTTTCTACCACTCAAATCTTCCTGCACCCAAACTTACCCAAACTGTGCGTAATAATTGTATCTGAAGTACATTAAAGAATAGTGATAGATGGGAATAGCCTACTATAAAGTTCCATCCAGTTTCACAGCCTTGATTGATTGTGTTCTCATTATTACACTGTTGTAGCAGAGATTTTAGTCGCGTTCTTAACACATTATATAGATAGCAGCTTCAAGCGGGTTTGATAACGTGCGCTGCAATGTCACATGGTAAGCTACTCCGCTTTTCATTGGTTACCACCCTTTCATTAGGATGTTATTATTGCCGCTAATACAGAGTATTAGAGCATCTCGTTAAAGTAGTATGTCAACTGTGAGAGATGTTTTCTTTTCTACCCTTCTTTCCTTTTTTGTCTTTTTCTGCAAAAGAGTAAATGACCAAGCGGTAGATCCTGTTCATGAAAGTATGAATTATTGTACTAAGACAGGTCATTTTTTCATTGGAGCTTAAAAAACTGTTAAACAAGGGATAGATTCTTTTCCCAGGAACTTAAGAACTGCTAAAAAGAGGAGAAATATTTTCCCTGGCATTTATGAACTATTAAATGAGAAGGAACCATATCTTAGTTAGCATGTAATGATGAACTTTTCATATCATCGTGAGGATATAAGCAGAACTAACATTGAGATTTCAATGGCGTATCTAATAAATAAAGTGGTTGTCAACCATAAGTAATACTTATTCTTAAATATAGTTTAATTAGTAGTAACAAGTAAAGTTAATGGCAATCCTCAGTAACATTTGATATTAAACAGGGTATAAACAGAGCTAAAATTAATATTGTAAATATCAAGAGTCAGTAAGGTTGGATAATGTCTTTTTTTTTAGAGTGGGTTTAAAATAAAGCACAGAACAAGATATTGGATGAAAAATAGTATTTATGTTATTTTCACATTTGTTTTAACAATTGTACTTCTCCATATTAAATATTTAAGTTGAGAATGTAGAACCAGAGCTACCAAATTCATTAAAGTGGAAAGCATGTTATCAACCCATCATCCATAACCAAAGATATATATATAACAAATATATTAAAGTTGAAAGCATGTTATCAACCCATCATCCATAACCAAAGATATATATAACAAATATATTAAAGTTGAAAGCATGTTATCAACCCATCATCCATAACCAAAGATATATATAACAAATTCATTAAAGTGGAAAGCATGTTATCAACCCATCATCCATAACCAAAGATATATATAACAAATATATTAAAGTTGAAAGCATGTTGTCAGACTATCATGGAAAACCAGAAATATCAAATATATAAAAGCATGTTGTCAGATCATCATATAGAACCAGAAATATCAAATATATAAAAGTGGAAAGCATGTTGTCAGCTCATAATATAGAACCAGAGTTGACAAATATATAAAAGTGGAAAGAACATTGTCAGCTCATCATATAGAACCAGAGTTAACAAATATATTAAAGTGGAAAGCACGTTGTTAGACCATCATATAGAACCAGAGTTAACAAATATATAAAAGAGGAAAGAACATTGTCAGCTCATCATATAGAACCAGAGTTAACAAATATATAAAAGTGGAAAGAACATTGTCAGCTCATCATATAGAACCAGTTAACAAATATATTAAAGTGGAAAGCACGTTGTTAGACCATCATATAGAACCAGAGTTAACAAATACATTAATGTAAAAAGTATGTTGCCAGCTCTTCGTGTAAAACCAGAAGTAACAAATATATTAAAGTATAAATAAAGTTTTTATATGTTAATCTTGAGATAATTCTGTCAAAACATCATGTACAACAATGCGATTAAACATACATTGTATTGTGGAAACCATGTTGTCAGACCTAAACATTCTAAGCTGGCCGAACTTCGTGAGAGATTATTCGGATTACGGCCAACAATTTCAATAAAAGTGAGGATACCTAACTGATTACTCAGTGCTTTCTAATTGTTTTAACTAATAATGGTGTTTTAAATTAGCTGTATTCATTACAGGGATATTTTTATAGTTTTCATCTATGAGCTTGCTTTGATCAGAAGTTAATGATAATTATTTAGAAACAAAGAAGTTCAAAATATTTTAATATGGAAGTTGATGACAGGCGAGATTTAACAAATGTATCAATGAGGGAAGCAAGCATACCCAGAGTAAGTGTTGTATGGTGCTAACAATATTTCTACAGGGAACAATAGTTCACATGTCAGTCACCAAAGGACAGTAGCCTGAGTCCGATGAATATCGTAGATCCGGCGGGGTCACGTGGCTTCTGACGACCTATCTTCGTTGTGTTTAGACTTTATAATAGAAACTAGATCTGCTGCTGCATAAGGTATTTGTAGAAATAAATCACCTTGAGTGGAACCTCTCTTCCAATACAGTTATTAAAGAAGGGGAGGGAAAGTATCCCCTACTAAAGGTAACTTAGAGATGATATTCACAGGTACTACGAGATGGTGGCTGTTACCTACTTTATATCGCCATTCAGCTTCGTGAATATGAAAACAGTATTGCAGTAAGCTGGTGTTCAACTTTAACTAAGATAATCACACGAAGTGGCATCATACCTAGAGGACGAAGGGCGGCGCTTCAATAAACTATAAGCAAAATTGATGTGTGCATGACGTTTTACTTGAAAAGTGCACGTGTCTCTGCATCAGTTGGAATACAAAGTATTTGGGGGAACTCAGAAGAACTTCATGAAACTTGAGTCACTTGATGTTCTTTTTCGATAGGTAGATATGTAGGTAGGTATTAAACTGATAATATGGTTATGAATATATATTATTATCATTAGTTGCCAAACAACAGGAAATCCGACAAATATCTTAGGTACGGTGGTACTTACAGTAGGTATACACAATACATACAATTCAAATTATTTACTCATATACACCTTTAACCACCAGATAATAGATCTTAAAAAGTATTTGAGAAATATTTTTAGGGGATAAACAAACCACATACAAAATTACAAGTCATAGAACCACTGAGAAAGTCAACAGAGCAGATACAAAAGATTTACAAAACCACAAACTTTTTAATATCACTGACTGGCTGACATTGTTGAATGCTTCTAACTGTGTAACAAACAGACTTACCATAGTTATAAGTGCACCAAATAGAACAATAGCATAGGACCCACGTGCTAGTGTTAGCATTTTTCTATACTAAACATCACCAAAAAGAAGAGCTATGTGACGTACATCAGGTAATAACTTGAACAGGGACGCCATTTCAAAATACATATCAACAGAAATGAATGAATGATGGATAAGTGTACAAAAGTATATCCACGATTCTTCTAGTTTTTGTATAGATAATAACAAATCCATGATGTTTATACACAGAAACCTCTCAGGATTTGTTTATGTTTGTATTATAATTGACCTATATAGTTAATGTACGAAATCCTGTTACTTCTCATGCAATTGGAAAAGGTGAAACAAGTTGTAAAGAAAATAACACAAGTTATGGATCCACGTGAATATCTGATTCTTCTAGAGTCGTATAAACAGACTTTACAGACATGTATTGCCTTCAATAATTCGATTCACAGAAACATCTAGTCATCCTATGATAAGCATAACTAAGTTTATTCCATCTGGCTTATTGTATACAGAATATAAAGAATAAACGCAGTAGTCATGAACCAGATATTGAACGCGCCCCCTTGTGAGGTTGTACAGAGAGTTTTATTACACCATATCCATTCCTACATTGCTTCCTCACGTTTTGGTGCACACATTACTACACTATAATTTAAATTTAAACGATTGCCCAGGGGTAGTTCCTAAGACTAAATTGCACATGGTAAAAACATAACAACAAGTTTCGTAATATCAGCTTATTTCCATTATAACCTTTTGTATGTCTAATGTTTGTTTGTTTAAATTTATTGCTTTTAAGGTTTTGAGCTATCGCAGAATTACATCTTCAAATCTGAAAACTCACTAAAAATGTTGCTTTATAACCATCTCATTTAGCCTCAGTTGCAAATTAAATCTTTCACCATGGAAATTAGTGTACCCGTTCCACCAAAGATTGTCTCTTTATCACGCTCACATTTATTACCCTTCTTCCGTAATATCAAATTATTTATTAACATTAACGTTTTATTTCGGGATTTATAAATGCTATGGTTTATCAAAAACATCACGAACTTTCATCTGTTCTGTTTAGAAACAGAAAAAAAAAATCACGTGATCTCAATCACTCATCTTCAAATCGCCATCTTTTAAATCTATCCTTAATTTTTTGCGTTATTCGAAAACGGAAATAGAACCTGCGATTTTATAAAATCGACTGATATTCATAAGATTGGATTTCAGGCCACGGAATTAGAGGCACATCAGTCAGTAAAGGCTATTTTATAATTAGACATCCTGTAAGTTTTTATTTTTCGTTGTTGTTTTTGCCCTTTACAGAAATCGTACACATAACAATTATGATGTTATCGGCTTCGGGGGACTCACTCGTAAATAAAAAGTTCATTTCGTGTATGCTGACGAAAATCGTGTATTGTTGTCTCGTTTGACCAAAACGTTGAAATGGCCGTTATGTTTTCAAGGTGGTAACAACAAAAGCCTCAGAGATAGAGATAGAAAACACAATATATCCATCTTTCAGTAATGTACATTTGGACAAAAAACAGAAATTTATTTTCCATTCGTCTGGGACGAATATATATACACCATTTACAGGTAGAAACACATGGTTTTGAAAAAACAACAACAACTCGCACAGTTTAATGATATTGTAGGAGAGAAGTTTCTTCAGAAAAATATGTGAATAATACGATTTCTGTGGCACTAAAGTGATTTATAGGCTGGCATGGCCAGGTGGTTAGGGCGCTCGACTCGTAATCTGAGGGTCGCGGGTTCGAATCCCCGTCACACCAAACATGCCAACCTCCGCCTTTGCCTGGTCCAGGATGAGAAAGGAGGAGGGTTGGGCGCGGGGCTAGCAACTCCACCCCGTAAAAACCAACCTGCTACAAGTAACTGCAACAACAACTTTCCGTTGGTGAGGTGTTGGGACGGCCTTATGCTCCACTGGGAGTTTAGAGGAATAAAAAAAAAGTGATTTATTATTTTTCAAAGTTTTTGACATTTAACTGAATGGGACCGTTACTCTATTATCGAATTGAAATAAAGTTCTCGATGCTACTCATGAAGGTAAACGCTATTTACATTCTCTTTAGCCTGCCGTCAAATTGTGATACAGGAAGTGGAAAATACAGCCTGTAGTTGTGGGATTTATTTTTTTCAAAATTTATTTCCTCGCCTCCAATTTGAACAATAGGCCTGTCACATGCCGGGCGAGTGTTCCACCAAAGGGCACTTTTTAACAACTCAAACTGCTACACCTTTTAGTTTCAATAAAACCTCCCTCCATTTTACGAATTTTCAAGGACACACCTTGCATTGTGCAAGTTTCTGCTGATCCAGGTATATAATGATGTTGGTCACAGATGAGTAAAATATTGTCAGAATAGTTTTTGACAAAAAAGAAACATGAAGAAACATTCGTTGCTATGGACATGTTTTTAGATTATTATCCAGCGTTCGATGACACTTTTCTTTGATGTGAATTTAGTGATTCTGAGTTTTTTACAGGTGGTAGAACAGTGTGGAAAATTGAGAGGTTGGCTTTGCACTGCTACCAGACCGTCAGGCCATTGGACGAATCTCGTGCGTCGTGCTGACGACATGGTAGCCAGTAATACTTGTTTGGTGTATGAAAATGGAAAGGTAAGGTATTTACAAAAGGTTTACTGGTCTTTTAGAGATAATTAAAAGAATAATTGTTTTCATATAAAGATTAAAAAGTTGTGTTATAAGCTACTCGAATGAAAGAAATCTTTGATGACACGCTAAATTATCATACCAATAATTACATTAAACCATGTGTTTTCGTGTTTTGGCCATCTATGGACGCTCCCAAATTCCAATATTCCCTCATACCAGTCATATCTTGTCAATGAAGTTTAAAAGAGCAACCAAAAGAAAAAGAAACCTGGCAACTGTAAAGTGTCTGATCTCGCCATAGAAACTTTATTAGCGTCCTTTAGGTTGATTTTTATATTTGTCATTTAAAAGATTACATCTGTAAAAAGTTATCTTTCAAATGCGTATACGCAATATTTAGGTTTGTTTGCTTTTTGTTAAGCATAAAGTTACACAATGGTTTATCTATGGTGTGTCCACTACGAGTATCAAATCCCGGGTTTTAGCGATCTAAGTTCTCAGACTTACCGCTGAGCCACAAGGGGCGCAATATTTAAGTTTTCAAAAAATATCAACTGTCTTTATCACGCAAGTTTTATAATACATTTCATTGAAATATATGTATAGGCATTAGAAAAGTCTGGAGTAAACAATAAATTTTTGATAAAACTTACAGTTCAATAACTTGATAATATGAAAAATTAACACCGCTAGTCATGTTTACCAAAGTAATACAGATTAAACACTATGGAATAGATACCAGCGGATGTTTTAGTAGAGATATTTTCTTTATTTGAAGGTGGTCCTGGTGGCGAGCTGCGAGTGAGAAGCTTCAAGGTTCGAGCCGCGGCATGCCTCTAAATAAGCTCCACAATTTCATCTAGGAAAAAAAAGCATTATAATAGAATATCAACATCTTAGACGGCTAGTGCTGTTAATTGGTTTAATTTCCTCAGGCTAGAAGTTCTAAATCAGAAATTACTCTACGTGCACTTTAGGGATCTCTGACATCGCCGTTTAGCCCATACTTCGCATAAAGTCACGAGCTGTTCAGGTTGAAAATAAAACTACAAATGTCATTTACACTTGAGATTCTTGTGGATGGAAATTTAAATAAATAAATAAACAACCTTTGGTCCAGGTGTGGTCTACTGGTTAGTATACCTATACTATGAGTCTGGGGATCATGATCTGCCTTCCGTTCCCGCAAATACGTGCTCTATACTTTGAAGATGTGGGTGTTCCATACGAGTAATGGCCAAATCTTACCATTCAGCCAGAGAAGAATAACCCAAGAGTTGAATAACTGCATTCCCTCTAGTCTATCAGTTCATACCTACGGACGTATGTGCGTAGATAACCCTTGTGTAGTTTGCGCGACATTCTAAAACACGTCAAACAAAATTAAATTACATTTCCTTTTAGAGCACCACCCAGCTCTTAGCATGATGGACTGTGGAGCTAGATGTTTTCTTTCGCGTCTCCTTACTGCAAAAACACATTATGGACTTTGAAGCCGTGGGTGTGCTAACGGTTGACAGTTAACTTCCACTATATGGTCTGACAAGAGTAGCCCACGGGTTGGTGGTATCGAATAGTTGTTTCCCTTCTAGTCTATCATATCAAAATTAGATAAGACTAGTGTAGATATAGCCTTTGTGTAGCTTTGCGTGAAATCCAATAAAAAACAAATTACTTCCTATGAACCGTGTCATCTTCAGCTTACCCAGGTTCGTAGGAACATATTCGTAATAATGTCAGCAGGATTCAGAACAACACACATGAAAAAATGTAAGGCCCAATTTCTTTTAACGTTTCTTTTCTTTTCTTCAGTTGTATCTGGAGGTTTCTATACCTTTGGAAGAATCAACCGAACTTATCATTTCAGCTGCAGAAATGATCCTAGAAGAACAAATTAACCTCACTAGCGACCAAGACCTTTCTAAACATCACAGTAAGTTGCTTGAGTGTATGATGTGTAAATTTAAAAAGTTCCCTTATTGATTTATATTTTCTATGAGGTGTGAAAAACTATAATTTTTGTTTTAATTTTTAGGTCAAACATTTACAAATGTCACTGCTTGCAGCTCTAGTAGTGAAACACCACTCCCCAGATCTAGTCTCAAAAACCAACTCTATTCATTCTTCATCCAATCATTACCTCCTCCAGTAATACCAATCTCGTGGACGGAAGAGAGAGCTCTTCTGCGAACCAACAACGAACATTCTACTGAAATGAGCGATGAAGGAATATTTGACCAACTTTCTGACACGCAGAGGTACATTTATGAGAAGTTATGAAACGTAAACAGCGTTGAAATAGAAAGCAAAAAACTCCAAATACAATAAAATTCTGTAAAGGCTTGAAATTATCATCATGAAGTAATCAGTATCTGTATTCAGTTTATATGAGAAAAGGTGTGGTTAAGGCATATCATATCAGTATTTCTAAGTATACGATAAACTCAAAAATCACTTGGTGAGGACAATGAGGTGAAGATATAATGCTAGGTTTGTGCTGAATGGAAGGTTATATTACTTAGCTTAATATTCTTAATGGTATGTATTTCGTTCTGTCTGCTTCCATTAGAAATGAGCAACTTTCTTAAGTAGAAAACTAAACATACAGACCATGTTGTTTGTGACGACTTATAGAGTTAAGTACTAAACTTACCCAGTTCTTCCCTCATTATTTTACAGCTATATATTTAGTTTTGTTGTTGTGAAATAATTTAGTAAGAGACTTAGATTTAAATATGGATCTCGTTCATAAAACAAGTATATTTCAAGAGTTACACTTTGACAGCTACTTCAATTGAAATTGGCCAAATAAAAAGACAAAAAAAAACCCAGCTTATTCTTAAAATTTAAATAATAATGAGGTTTAGCTACTTTTATTTTTTGAAATAAATCCTACCCGGATTATAAACTAACAAAATTATAGCAAGAAATCTCCAAAGATTTTTTTAACGAGTATAAAGTGAACTTTCCGTGATCGGGAATAAAATAAGCATTTCTTGGTAGAGGATAATTTTTCTATCTAGTTGTACAACTAACAGATTCAATATTTAAAAACATAAATAGAAAACAGTATTTGACGTGAAAATCACTGTAATATTATTAACGTTTTGTTTTTTCCAGTTTCAACGACTTGGATATTTCTTCTCATTGGTGTAGCGACTTAGTACAAAGTGACAAAGAATATATATGTGACCAGTGTCCGAAGGTATTTAACTGGAAAAACAATTTAATTCGCCATCAGGTATCGAACGATGATAAGCGTTTTTACATTTGTGAAAACTGTAAAAAAATATTTACCGATCCCAGTAACTTACAACGTCACATCCGGTCCCAGCACATTGGCGCGCGTTCTCATGTTTGCTTAAAGTGTGGGAAAACATTTGCGACCTCTAGTGGTTTGAAACAGCATACGCACATTCACAGTAGTGTTAAGCCGTTCCGGTGTGAAGTTTGTTTTAAAGCTTACACACAGTTCTCTAATTTATGCCGACACAAAAGGATGCATGCTAACTGTCGCATGAAAGTTAAATGCCATAAATGTGGTCAAGCGTTTTCAACAATGACGTCACTATCTAAACATAAAAGATATTGTGATGTCACAGTGCTGACATCTGCTCAGAATTCTGCAATTTATTCTTGTTTTTCTGAGGGTCATTCTACTGGTCAAAACGTAGAGACCAGCAAGTGTTCTGATTCTCTGAATATAGTGCCACAAACCAACCAGCTTTTGTTCTACCCTAGGCTGTCATTCTACTCATCCGCTTTTTATAGTGACCCTTTGCTTTCGCGTAGAAGCCTCACTGGGCCATGTCCCTTTTATTTAGATCCTACACCATTCACTTCAAACACATCTTTGACATTTCATGCTTCATGCAGTCCAGAAAAACATCCTGGTCCTAAGAACCAACCGCCTAACATCCAAAGACCAACGTTTTTACAGCAAGAGAAAGAGATGTGTTTGGAGACCTTGGAATTTGATATTTCAGAGGAAATGGCATCAAACAGGGATTTGGAGGAATTCTCTACTACGGAAGATGAATACATTAGTGGTGATGACAATGCAAAAACGCCCTTGTTTACCCAAAATTACAGTGTACCTGACCTATTGTTTAATTCAAACCGAAATTGTCCTGTTAGTAAGCTACCAGTTGTGAGAGAAAGTAGTAAAATTCAGGCCTGGCAAATAAAACTTCCGACATCCGATTCTTCCGAAAAACTTTATGATCTTTCTCAGATGAATATTTCTTCAAAAGAACAGCAAATTACCAGAAGTCACGAAACAGATAAAAAATCTCAAAGAGAAGAGCCTCTTGATTTGCGCATCCTTAAGACAAAAATTTCTTTAGAAAAAGCCGAAGAAACTGAATTTCAGTTTCAGGAAAGTACAAAGCTTCGGCTCATAAACACTATCGTCTCCAGAAACAATACACAGTCTTTGTCTCAACCATCATTTCATGCGACTTATCCTAGACCTGTGCATCCAATAATCTTGGGAAAAATTAATGGCCTCCAACAAAAACACTCTGTCCTTCCTTGTCCATCTAGATTACCATCTCTATTTTTACAAAGACCAGCATTCTTAAGTCATCCTGTTTTTGGTACCAGTGTTTCTTTAGACCCCCGGAGAAATCACTTCGAGAAGATGGAGAACCAAATGGGTGATATACTTTTTCAACAATTAAACAAAAACAAAAATGGCTACTCATGTAAATTCTGTGATAAAGTATTCCCTCGTTCTGCTAATCTTACTCGCCATCTTCGAACCCACACAGGAGAACAGCCGTACAAATGTAAATACTGTGAAAGATCATTCAGTATTTCCTCCAACCTCCAACGTCATGTTCGGAATATTCACAATAAAGAGAAGCCGTTCAATTGTCTGCTTTGTGATCGCAGTTTTGGTCAACAAACCAACCTGGATCGACATTTAAAAAAACATGAAACCGGCGGGTTGAACCTTTATGAAAATTCTTTAAAACAAGACAGCAAGGCTGAAAGGGCGTTTGATGAGATTCGAAACTTTGTAGGAAAGGTTACGTATTTGAATGCTAACAACGACAAACACATTTCGGAACATCTAGAATTAGATAAGAATGATCTAATGGATCTGGTTAGAAGAGACACGCCAGAGGAACCAGAAGAAACTCTACACAAAGAGAAGTTCTGTTTTGAACCTATGAAAGATGATAATGTTCATTCTTCTGCACAGCTAACGAAGTTTGCCAGTGAGTCAAATATACCTAAATATTTTATTTCCAGTACTCATTATACGCAAAATCAGAATTGAGTTTTTGTAAATCAACGTAGCGCTGATAAGAACCACAATGGTATTACTGGAATTCATTAAAATATTGTTGAAAGTCAGCGTAGCATTGTTTCTCCCGGCTTTAACTGGCTCTTTCCAAAATTCGATCTTCTTGAATAGAGATTTTTTAAAAAACAACATTAATTTAAACCTTAGCGTACATGAAAAGACGCTCGTTCATCTAGATTTTGTTGAGACTGAAATGTTCTTACAAAATAAAACCAAAGTAAGACAAGAGAATGATTCTGTGTTTCTAAAGGAAACAGTTTGTCTGTAGGAATTTTGTAAATCACCTTAACAAATATTATTTGTTCAAGTTAGTTCTAGTCTAAAGTCCACCTCACCTTCAGTAGTCATGAATAATAAATTCACGAGGACTTTTGTTTCAGAAATTCAAGGGGGGCTTTGGCTGCAAACAAGAAATTATGTGTCTTATATGTGAGAAAAACAGAATTGTATAGTAAGACTTTCACACAGACTGGAGGTAGTATAAATTACAAGTTAACCGGACGTCTGAAGATCATGCTAGTATATGCCGTTTTTTTGTTTTCAGATGTAGTCCTGCTAGATCAATTATCTTTTAGTGGGCATTAATAGCGTTTCTAGAAGCTCACGTTGTTACACTAACTTGTATGTCTATATATATATATATGTAGTGAATATAAACAAGTATACCATATACAAAAAATTTGTTTCGACACATCATGTTTTCGTGCTAATTTTTTAGTTTTTTATATTTTCAACTTGAAATGCAATATGTGCGACATGTAGGCTAAATGCCCATTCCAGAGATCTGAAAGACCTGGCGTACCTATTTCTAATTTAGAACAAATAGAGTGAAAGTGAGATTGACTGTCACACGTATAACGTCTCCATAAATGAAAGAGCAGAGATCGTTCAGCAGTGTATCATGGATCGAACTTTGGACGTTTGAACTGTAGCTTGCAAACTACTAGGCCACGCCCATAAATTATGTAGTAGAGTTATCCTAACTTGTAACACCCAATCTGCGAGTTAATGAGACTGAATTCAGGGAGTTGTGTGGGTACAGAATGGTGTCACGATTTCCAGTATTGAAGTCAGAGTCCAAAAATCTACAACAATAAAGGGTATGATCTTTTAACCCCCAAAACCACTTTACTACCAAAAGAACTCACCTCTCAATATTATTCGGTTATAAAGGTGTGGAGTTTAGGGGTTGGCCGAACTGTGTTCATTTTGCACAAAATAGTAGACGTGTTCATGTCGGGCAGATTCCTCACCTAACCACTTTAAAGCAGCAAATAAGCTTCGTTGAGCATTTCTCGGCTATCTTGATTGACAGAATTCGCAAAAACCGCGGATAAAACGGCGTTATAGAGCTCAGGAACCAGATCTTGTTTGTGCAACATGTGCAGCCACTACCATGTTTTGTTTGGGATTTTGGATTGGGGTTTGGATTTTACTCCCTCACATCCTGGAAATTATAATAAATTCGACCACGATAGTGTTCAGTTAATTTCCAGATATCGCAAGCAGTTCGAATCTGTTTTTAGAATTTTAAAATAAAGGCACCGGAAAGCTTTGTTTGGAATCAACCCACCAAGAACATCTTTCAATGTAGTCAGAAAAATGTTTAGCTAAGTATTTACACTCATACATTTTATAGTGTGGACAAAGTTTTAATTTAATGTAATAGCATGAAAAATGCCACTATTACATATGACATAAACACTCAGTTTAAATTCATGTTCGGGATAGCACTGAAAATATAAGATTTTAACCAATCACTGATGGTTATATATACCCCCTCTCTCTATAAACAGATAGGTACGCGTTTCTTAACTTAGAGAGAGATAGTAAAAAAAAAAGTCTGAATTGTATACAATTCAATGAAAACAGAATATCTACATTGTGTTAATGTAATATGAATGATATGGAACTTCCATTTATTCTGCATTGTACAGTAAAGAAAAAAAAGTGGTCATTTAAAGTTCGACTTGGTTACTTTTAAAATCGAAATAATATTTTGAGTTGCCCTTTACTTAAGAAATAAACATTCGTCTCGTTAACACTACACAGTTAACTATGTATCATATATATATATCATTAGATAATATAACAGGTAATTTGACTTTAACATCGTAAATAAAGAGAACGTCAAACAACAGAAATCTGAAAATTCGATATTTTTTTATTTCAATCAAACAACTAGGTGAAAAACATATATTATCCTATAATGTTTATTTATTGTAATAATTCGGAATAACATTTTAAACACTTGTATGTTTGATTTATGTCATGCGTGTATTTTTACCAGTGTTACTTACGAGGAGTTAACCTTGAGTTTCTAGCAAGTATCAGGCAATATTCATGATTATATAGAACGTCAAACCAGATAGGTTGGCTATTATATTTATTGTTGAATTTATAGGTAAACTATTCTTTTTTATTTCTTATTTTGCATATTTGGAATTATAATTTAAAAAATTACTTTGGTACGTATTATGTGTTATGGGGCTGGAATTCCTATGAATGGAGACAAATTTTATTTATCGTCCCCATTGGCCATGTCTTCTATATTTTAATTTTATTTCTAGTCTGTTTCATTAGGTTTATTTCCCACCAGATGACGATTGTTGGTTTATATATGGGTTTTCGAAACCATATTTGATCGTGATTTTTAAGTTACAATATCATTCCCCAAAGGATGCTTCTTAAAGAGAGATTACATTTTATAGGTGCGCTCTCTCAACACTCTATGGGTCCTCTTCTGAAAAATACCTCGCTCATTAAACTCTATTGTAACGTTCTCACGTTTGATACTAGTTGTTAGGATCTGTAAACTAACGTAAGCAGACGTAAGACCCACAGAATGTCCTAACGATCATCCTGGAAATATATTATAAATCTAAAATTACGATTAAATAAGTGTGCCCTTTTGAACGTACATAGCTGGTTTTAATACAATTAATAGTTATTCCGCTTTACAAGTATTAAGTACGGTCATCACACGGTAAACGTAACCAGATTAGGATTACTTGATTACCTCAACACAAGGCTTGTCTATTTACCTATACTTGATACAGCTTAACTAATGTATCCATAACTAATCACAGTATGCGTATAAAAATATTCCATGATTGTGTGAGTAAAATAAATTTCGTTTGAAATTTTATTTTGTTCTTGTTTGTTGTGTATCTATTTTTCTAAATAGCTGTATGATTTTTTTTCTAAACTAGAGTTTAAACATTTATGTTTCTAAAGCATCTAAAGAAACTTAAAAATTTACGAGTTTTATCAAAATCATGAGTAGACAAACAGCACAACGTTCAGCAAAGGAGAAAGCGTTTTCATCTCATTTAAACTGTTAATAACCAGAGACCATGAGTAGACTAAAAGTCCTTTCACACTTCTGGATCACCGTTGTTCAAATATTATTTCGAAACTTCAATGACGACCATGTACATTTCCATGTATACGTTATTCATAAAGTAAAAAGAAAACATTAACGTTGCACTTCCAACATCTATAGAAAAGTTGTCGAAAATCGGACTTGCAATCCTGAATATGAGGGTTGTCGTCATGGTAAAAAAAATAGCATAATAATAAGACAAACAGCGATGTCATTTCAGTTATACATATATATATCAACATTGTTTATTGTCTTCGGATAAAATACAACGTTGTCTTTATATTTTAAATCGTCAAAAGACTTCTTAAAACTGTACTTGTTTTTCATCGATATCTCTAAAGGAAAATCCTTTGAGATTTTATGTTTCATTTTCAATTTTGCTCTATCAAAATTTGAATGCACTTTTACAGTGACTTGAGGAACGACGTAATAAAGACGTTAATTTCAGTTTGTAGTCAGTTAATATTTCTTTGATGCAATTTTTTCATTTGTCACAAATCAGATCTAGATTTTAATTTCCAAAAATAGAAAGTTGAACTTAATACTTTATCATAAACGTCATATAAACAGGTGCATTAAGCTATGGCATATGATAGTTATAATAGGGTATATTGGATTTCCTGATATAATCTTCAAGGGCAAAAGCTCACTTTTTAATCGTCAGTTATTGTTATAACAACATTTCGAAAGTATATAGATAAAAACCGGCACGTTCCGATGGTTATACATGTAGGATATTTGTATGATTAATTGGACAAGGTTCTTAACGTGTCTGCACGTGTCCTTTCAATCCCTTTTAGATCTGCTACAGGAGCCAGTTAATGAACAAGCATCAGTCCATATTGAATTCAAGAAATCACTGCATTCCTCTCGGCTCGAAGAAGATATGATCAGTTTTCACTGAATATATTTTCATATTTGCTGAAAATCAAACAGAAATCTGAAGCGCAGTGACATAATACAAAAGATACTCCACCCTCGTGAAAAGTAATTAAGCCGCCTACATTTATTTCCCTATAACTGTAGTTAAGATTGTGGCTCCATGCAATTGCAGGGGCATACTTACGTTATTGCTGAAGCGACAGGTTGTCATGAAAACAGATCTCTCGTACTGTGGAAACTGACTTTTCATAACTTCATGCAAATATGTGATTACAGATTAAATATCGTGATTGTATAATATTAGCCGACTGTGTTGTATGACTTGACACGGTATGCGGCCTGGCTCAAACTATAAATAAACGAGTCTGTATTCATTTGTCTAACTCTCTTGCAGGGGTCGATTTTTCTCTACCGTCACGAAGTCAAGCACATGTATTTGAATAAGTACATTAATGTACGTAACAAAAGAAACTTATTTATAGGTTTGGCGCTGTATTATTGGAGATACTAGAATTCGTTCCTGCTTCAAGTTCTACTATTTTTTTTTTGTTGTTTTCTCTATTTTATATTTGATCTTTGTAAACTACACTAACTATCCGTAAAAAATGACTTGTTTTTTATGTATTATTTTTAGAACTTTAACACGTGTCTACTGATTTTTACTGTGCTTTTAGTTTCAATTAAAAAACTACATTATTAACCTGAT